TGCCGCTGTACACGGTTACCCCCTTTTCAGCCAGTTATTAAAAGAGGTCATTGTGCCTTGGGGGGGGGGGTCATGTGCGTGTTTGCTCAGAACAGGGGCCTCCGGGGGGGGGCCATCAGTTAAGCGTGCCGCGACAGTTCTCCGTCCCACACAGGCAGGGGATCTTATTCTCCTCAATGGGGAACTTGTAATCATAGGTGATCTCCTCATTAATGCCGATGGGCTGCTTGGAGTAGATGACGATCTTCTTCTGGGACTCGATGGTGATCACCTTCGCGTAGCAGTTTGGCTGTTGGGGGGAGGGTAGTGGAGACACGTTAAAGATGATGACAAAAATAAAATAAAAACAAGGGGAGAAAGGGAGCACAGGTCTGCAAGGCAGAGAGGGCAGGGCGGAGCTCACAGTGCAGCAGTGATTGATGAATCGGGCCAGGTTGCCACACTTGGTAGCATCGATAATGGTGTCATGGTCGACCCGGAACAGGTAGCTGCTGCCAATGCCTTCCTGGGCGTAGCGCTTCTCCCGATTGTCAGCGACCATCTGAGGGCACAAGGCAGTGGTGTCAGAGAGCAGAGGGGCAGCATCAGAGCGGGGCCGGGCGGTGGCAGGACATAGAGGGGGCGGCGGTGGTAGAGCGGGACTGGGCAACGGCAGGACATGCAGTGGCATCAGAGCGGGCCCGGGAGGTGACAGGACACGTGGGGGACACGTGTGTCGGGACACGCGGGGGCCGGTGGCGTCAGGACACGTGGGGGGTGGTGGTACCTGTCTGATGTTCTGCCCCACATATTCGATGACCATTTCGTCGGCAGCGATGGGTTCCATGGCGAACAGCCCCCACTCGTGGATCCGGCTGCGGCCGAAGCGGAGCTTCTTCTTGCGGAACTGGGGAAGGGGGACGGGACCGTTACTGGATGGCAGCTGACCGAGGCGAGCTTCCAGTCTAACTCTCACAACTCGCCACATGCGCCTGAGCAACCATACACACCATAGGCAGGGGTGGGGCTCATACCTTTAGCTGGTTGAGCTTCAGCAAGTCAGAGTCCATGACAGCCTGCGTGCCGATGGCGCTGAGAAGCCTGCGCTGCTCAGAGCGACGTTCTGATAGCACGCGGTTGGTGGCCTGGGGACACGGGGAGGGACTTAGGGTTACTCAGTCATTCCTGGGGTTTCCTCTCTTGAGAACCCAGACCAAAAATCACAGGGTGTCATTTACGACAGCAGTAAACAGGAACATGCCAAACCCCAAAAGCAACTGGCAGCCCTGCCAACACCCAAAAGAGCGTGTCTGCACAGAAGCTTCCGGAAGAGTCTGCCAAACCGATGTGCGACAATTCACGTAAATTAGTGTCCCTACTGAACTGAACCGGGAATAGCAAATAGCACTTTACATCCTGTACCAGGTCCGCTGACAAAGTCTAACACAATATGGGCATGGTTTCCTCGGAAACATGCCAGCACGAGCGTGACATCATTTCGGGGTGAGGAATGCAGGTCAGACTCCTCACCAGGTTGTCATAGTCGAGCTCCTGCGCTGAGCCGGGGTACAGGTCGAGGTAGATGTCCTTCTCCTTGCGGCTGATGGCGTAGTAACCCTCGCTGCGGGCACAGCCTGTCACGTGCTCCCGCAGCTGCTCATCTGGGTTCTTCTTCTTGCGCCGGGGGTTGGGGATGTTGGTGAGTGCAGACGGGGTCAAGGGTCACAAGTTTGTGGTCGGGAACACGTTTTTTTGACGAGCGCTCTATTCCATAATGAAAGGCAAAGCGGGGAAGAATACAGGAGGAAGACATATTCATGCTACGCATTTCACCAGTGCGGCATCTTGTGACAAACGGGCCAGGAAATCTACCCTGGCTGCTTTTCCCAGACCCATCTCCTCCCTAAATTCCTGTCCTTCTGCTCCCCGATGGCCATACGCCCTTCCCAGCTTCCCAGACTTATTTTTTCAGGCTTGCTTTTCCTGTAAGTGTTATAGAAGCATTATGACAAAGAGGTTGAAATAGTACAGTAACCCAACCCCCTCACCCAAACTGAGCACAGGTGGCGGCCACAGCGGGACGGGTATGTTGGTGAGCCGTCAGAGTTGGAGTATGTCAGGCGCGACCTCGCGTGGCCGACCTCCCTACAGCACAGAGGTTCCCACTGACGGCGGCCGAGGGGAAAGGATATCAGTGTGGTGCACCCAATGCGTGTCGTTGAGCCAGTCTGTGCTGGGGTCCTCCTGCAGTAGCTTCTCGTAGGTCACCTTCAACAGCCGCATGTCCTCCACATCCAGGCCCACGTTCCAGATGTCATACAGGATGGTCATCTGCTCAAACTCGCTGCGTGGCTGGAAGGTGCGAGCCAGCGCCGGGAGCACGGCAGAGGCCTTGGGCCGGGACCTGCGCCGCTCGCTCTTCCTCGCCTCCTCCGGCTCGCGCCACTCCTCATCCTCTTCCGACTCGTCAGATTCGGACGGCTCACCGGGCTCCAGCTGCTCCACGTCCACATCCTCCAGTTCCAGCTCCTAGCCGGGAAGATCAGAAACCATTAAAGTGTTGAATTGGCAAAAAAAAAGGGTGCAGGTGCTACACTTATAGGCGGAATGTGCGCTGGCCATTACCAGGCCATAGGTCGACTCGCACAGCACCACAAACACTTATCCGCTAACATTCTGTGAAGGGCTTCACTGAGGTTCAGCTGGCAGAGCGCAACGTCCACACGGCACATCCAACTCACCTCTAACTTCCTCTTCTTCTCCTTCTTGCTCTGTCGCTCTTTCTTCTTTGCCTGCTGCTGCTCCTGCTTCTCCTTCCTCCTCTTCTTCCTCCCCTTGCTCCTCCCCTTCTCCTGCTCCTCCCGATCTGCTTCCCTGGCCACTGGGCCCCTACGCTTGACTGGGGTGGCGATGGCAGCAGGGGCCACAGGGGCCTTGGTTTCAGCATCCCCAGGCTCGCCCAGAAGCCCGAGCGCAGACAGAGTCACTAGGGGCTGGTAGAGATCTGAAATTTCCTCCTTGGATGGCTGTGGCTCTCCTATGACCTCCTCCGGGGCCTCCAGGACCCCGGACATGGCATGGTGGTTGATGTCTGCAGGGAGGAGCACCGGGTGGGGCTCCGCTTTGGCCTTCTTCTGACCAGCAGCGGCTGGAGCAGCAAGGTGCACCTGGGGCTTGCAGTAGTTGTGCTCCAGCCAGACAAACTGGCCCTCGGGGTGCAGCATGGTCACACTTCCTGCCGCTAGACTCCCCCCCTCTGGTCCTAGTGCCTGCTGCTGCTCCTCCGCCTCGTCCGACGTCTCCGTCTCCTCCGAGTCCTGAGCCTCGGGCTCCAGCTTTAGAGCCACGTCGGCCAGGACGGTGAGGTCGGGGGTGGGTGCCGTGCCCGGGGTCCCTGCCAGCTGCAACAGGCCGGTGGCACCCAGTTGTTCGCGCAGACGCAACCTGTGCCCCCTCTCTGCTCCGTCCTCGCCCTCGGGGCTCACCTGCGACACGGGGGGCAGTGCAGCGGCCGACAGACTGACGGTCCGAGGACGGCCTCGGGGGCGACCCCTGGGGGCTGGGACAGGAGATGGGATGGGGGGCACGGGAGCCGGCTCCTCGTAGGATGTCCTCACCATGGAGGCGTGGTCTGGGGGCAAGTTCTGCACCGTCTGACAGACAAGTGGAAGTGGAACCACCGGGGACTTTGGGGGTGTCTCCTTGGCGGTGCCCCGCCTGGAAGCTGGTGGGGACTTGGCTGGGGGGGTGTGGGGGGGGGCTGCTGCCCCAGGGCTTTTCTTAGTCTCGTCTGGACGGAGGGAGCGGACTGGTGGTGGTACTGTGAGCACCGAACCTGCTGAAGGAGATGGGGAGAGGGCTCCGCCTTCCCCTGGCTTGGAAGCGAAGGGGAGGAGCACCGGTGGGGGCCGGGTACTGGTGGGGGTTGCGGATGGGACAGCAGGCGGGGCAACAGGGGAGAAAGAGGTGAGGATGGACTCCGGCGGCTGAGCTCGGACAGGCGACAGGAGCAGAGATGGTGTGGGGGCGGGGGATGACGATGGGGATGTGGGGGGCATGGAGAGGGCGGGGGCCTGTGTGACTTTACTGTCAACCTCCTCTGTGGAGAAGGAGACGGTCTTGCGGCGTTTTTTGAGGGGGGGCAGCAGAGGGATGGGGGAAGAAGGCCGGGGAAGTGGGGGTGAGGGGGGGCGGCGCAAGCCTGGGCCGCTTTGGGCTGCCTGCTTATCGGTTTCAGCCTTGCGTGCGTCGCCTTTAGCTACAAAAGGGAGGAGGAAGAATGTTGAGTCACAGCGGACCATGCTCAGAGTCACACCGCCACCCCCCAGTCACTCGCAGTGTCACACCGCCACCCCCCAG